TGTCACATTCATTGATTCAATCCACAAGCAACGTTTGGACACCTGCCACGTGCTGTCAGTGACATACTGTGTGGGATTCCAGGATGGTGGCCATCCTCAACCACTCTTTCCAAGCTCATCATCCATCCTGCTTAAGTATGAACAATTTACTGTAACTTTTCATCTATCTGTCTATCAAATCTTACCTATCCTTTTAAATTCCAAACTATTTTGAGATGGGAACTATTTCTCCCATTTCTCTGTATCCTCCACAATGTCAAGACAGAACTATATACATAAAGAGGTATTCATTAAATACTCACTGAATGTTTGATTAACTTATTAATTTAAATAGTAATCAAGAAGCTATTATGTCCTAAAGCACAGAAGGGAGTACTCTGGAGATGTAAAGATAAAATCTTTTCAGTCTCTAATAAGCTTTCAGTTCTGGTAGGGAAGATAAATTGCTGTAACTCAGCAAACGAGGTACTAAGAACCAAAAAAATAGTACAGAAGAAGTGTTGTATGGGTCGATTGATTGCGTAGGGTGATACATACATGTTTAAGCTTCAGGTCTCCATTAGAAGTTTATTCAGTATTCTATTTTATATAATAGACATATTACTTTTGGAAGAGGAAACACTTATAAATACCTAGTACCACCTTTTTCAGTTGCAGTATTGGTGACATTAGTGACAGTTTTATATTAGTTTGAGATGTACAAAGTAATGATCCAACAATTATACACTTTAGGAAGTGCTCTCCATGAAGAGCTTAGTTACCCTCTGTCACCATGCGAAGTTACTACAATATGACTGACTTTATTCCCTATGCTGTACTTTACACCACCATGACTTATTTATTGTATAACTGGTTTGTACCTCTTAATCCCCTTCCAACCATCAATCTTTATTTATCTTCATCTTATGTTTTTCCCCTTCTTTTTTTTTTTAAGATTTTATTTATTTATTCATGAGATACAGAGAGAGAGGCAGAGACATAGGCAGAGGGAGAAGCAGGGAGAAGCAGGCTCCATGAAGGGAGTCTGATTCAGGACTTGATCCCAGGACCTCAGGATCACAACCTGAACCAAAGATAGATGGTTAACCGCTGAGCCACCTAAGTGCCCCTAGTTCTTCCTCTTCTAGCTAACTGGTAAGGGCTGTTTTTCCCACCTCTCCCTCTTCATGTCTCTCCATCACATATTATTTGAACTTGTTATTTTTTTTTTTAAGATTTATTATTTGAGAGAGAGAGAGAGACAGAGAGAGAGAGAGCACAAGCAAAGGGACTGGCAGGCAGAGGGAAAGGGAGAAGCAGACTAGCTTTCCTGAGCAGGGAGCCTGATGAGGGACTTGATCCCAGGACCCTGGGATCATGACCTGAGCTGAAGGCAGACGCTTCACTGACTGAGCCACCCAGGCACCCTGAACTTAATTTTTAACACCACAGAAATAGAACCAGATACCATCAATTTAATGTTTTATGTTATTCCTTGTTGCAAATTTTTTAAAATTAAAGATTAGAACAAAACCAAATATTTTTCAAGTTCAATGCAGTAGTCATTCATTTCTAAAAAACCAACAGAGTTCAGTCTCAATACTTGGGTCCTTAAATATGTGTCTTCTAACAGTTGCAATGACATTCTAAGCACTGTGTTTGGGAAGCCTGCATGGATGAGGAAATGTCTGATTTTGCTTTTTGACCCAGGTGATATAAAACACAAAGTATCAGCTTGTTGAGAAACACAGGGATCACACCATCTAACCTTGGCTGACTTGCCTCCGAGGGTTCTGGGTGGGTTTGCTTACATACCTTTCTTTGTGAAATAAGATCTTCAAATTAATTGTTTGTTATTGATCTTTTATTTACTGTTTAGAAATTGTTATTGCTCTTGTTTGTTGATTTGTGTATTTGCACAAACAATTACTTTCCAATGTTTGCAATTTTAATTTATGTAGTCTGGAATTTTGTCAGGAGAAGAAGGTCGGGTTTGGGAGTTAAACCCAATATCCCTAACCCATGTCACTGTGGGTGTGTTACTAGTTCTTAACCACCTCAGCTGGGGGATGTGAAAAGGAAATGGGATAGAGCTTGTGTTACACTAAAGGAGTTTAATACACATTCATTTCCTTCTGTTTTTCTGGCTAACTCTCTCTGTATTTGTAGTTCTTGGTGCCTTTTTATCTCCTGAAATTCCACTGCTGTACTCACACAAGAAGCCAAATTAAATAAAGACCCTGTCTCTTGACCTCTTCATGTTATCATGCCAGTTTTTTTTCCACCAATTTCTAAATACAGAAAATTGTGATTACAAAGATACAGTGGCATTTTAAAGCAAGTGAGATAAAGTTTTTCAGAAAACAGGTTTGCCAATGAAAACTCTCTTTAGTTCTTGGAATTGAAGAATATTATTTTGCAAATCATGTTTTGAAAAACCTGCATGGTAGTTAAGTGGACATTAGTTTTTAGAGTCCAGGCAATCTGCTCTCCAGGTCTGATGATCTCTGGCTAAGTGACTCCTCTGAGGTGCAGTTTTCTCATCTGTAAAATGGGGAAAATCATCTATCTTGTAAGGTTGTTGAGGGGACTTAATGAGGTAAAATGCTTGGCACCTGGTGCAATGATTTGAAGCTGTTCTTATTTTGTCTGAATATTAGTGAACAGCAACCTTTTAATTTTCTCTGAGAAGTCACTTGTATTATCTTAGAGAATGTCTGAGAAAACAAAAGCACCTAAATATGGTACAGATCATTAAACGTGGAACCAGAGAGAAAGTGGGGCTTGTCCCATACCACTGCTCATAAGAACCTGACCTTGGATTGGACCCTGCTCAGCCTGTTTTCCACTTGAAATTTGGGTATTATATCTGTCTTGCCTACTTTGTAATTTTATATTTCTCAGAGAAGTTAACTGATTTGAAAGCACTTTGTAAATTTTCAAGTACTGAACCAAGAACTAGTGAAGAAACCCCATAGGGTCTATTTTCCATGTCAGGAAGGGGACTTGTGGACTGAGTGGTCTGCATTTTGATGCCAGTTTTGCCACTTGCATGTTGTGTGATCCTGGGAAAATTTCTAACCCTCTCTGAGTCTCAGTTTTCATACGTCTGTGAAATGAGAATAACAACAGCATCTCAGGGGATTGTGGTGTGGATAAATGAGTTAATGCAGTCAAGCGCTTAGAATGGTGACAGATTTAAGAGCTAAATAATGTTAGTCATTATAGACTGTATTTTAAAATGGAGGAGTTGGGCTACCTTATCTTCAGCATGTCTTCAATTTTAAGCATTCTTTGGGGCTTACACATGTCTTACTTTCTAGAACAAGAAGTATTTTGAATACTCCAGTAGTTTTTGCAGTAATGATCTGCCAATAGCAACTTCAGATGTAGGTTTTGGAAATTCCTGATTACTTGGTATTAAAGTGAGGTCCCCAAATTCTCATCATCTGTCACTTTTCAAATGATTGGAAGCAGCCTCAGTTAAAGACCAGTCTACTGTACCTCCCAGTTCCTCCCAGCCCAGAGAGACCCCAAAAATATTCAACCCCCAAACATCCCAGGAGTTGATTCCACCTTGAGGAACCTGCCCGGTCTCCCACCTTGGGAGTGTACCTTAGTTTTTATAAACTGCTCTGTGCTAGCCACTTGCCATTATTGTCAGTATTTGAGCACGGATCCCCACGTAAATCTTCTTGTGGGGAGTCCAAGGACTGAGATCTCCATTCATATCAATGCATTATCCTTCTCACCCCTAACAATGTGACTGCAGGGGGTAAGGAAATGTCACCCCAAGATATGCTACTTTGACATATCGATTTTGGAGTTGTAAGAACTTGAGAAACAGCAAAATGCACTGAAATGCTGTCTCTGAACTCCTGATTTCTGCCTAAAGATGGAACCTCCAGAAGCACTTAATTGTTGCAAATCCTTCCATGGGAGTTTCATCCCAAGGGAAGATGACATCTGACCACAAAGGAGAGACTAGAAGTCAACATCACACCCAAACTTTGTCACAAACTATAGTATCTTCCATCTATATGAAGGGCCATTCATCTTTCTTTAAAACAAAACAAAACAAAAAAACCCAACAACTTTCTTTCCCCTAAAAAGCCTACATCTTCTGTCCCTTTTCCCTATTATGTGTGATGTCTTTCTCCAATCAGATAGGGATCCCCAAATGTGGGGCCACAAGAGGGTAGAAGCTGGCAGTAGGAGTGGTGAGAGGATTCAGTGGAGGCAGAACAAAGGAGGTAGAAGTTTGTTGCCTTTGCTGCTGGCAGCGGGCAGGACAGGTGAGGCAGAAGCTGTCTGCTGGCAAGCAGTGGGTGGAGGCTGTGTGTAAGCAGGAATTGTGGGACCCAGGAAATTTAACAAAAATCCCCTACCCCTGGACAAGCAGAGCAGGACTGATTCCATTTTGTGCTATACCCGCCACCTCCTGTGTGACCCCCACATAACCTGCTTATTGCTTAAGGCGCTGCCCCACCCTAGTCAAGCCGCTGGGCACACCCTAATCGGAAATCGGCTCATAACAATGTAACCCTGCATTGTGCCCACCAAAACTGCGCGCCGATTCTGACCAAAGTACTAGGCCAGCTCAAGTGGATACTAGAGGGTAAGGTGTAATTCAACTGGCCACCTGCGTGTGGACCGACAGGGCTGTGCAACTTTCTGCGTATCCCATTGGCCACTGGCCCCTATAAAGCTGCTACGCCTCTTAGTCTTGGGGTCCAAGTCCCTGCTCCGCTGTGTCGGGTACACTTGGACCCAAGCTCGAGCTTGTAAATAAACCCTCGTGTGTTTGCATCGGTGTCGGCTCCTTGGTGGTTTCTCGGATTCGCGATCTTGGGCACAACATTTGGGGGCTCATCCGGGATCCAAGAAACCTCCAGGCTCCCATCCGGAGGGTTTCACGCGTGGTGAGTGCGCTCAGCTTTTTCCACCTTTTGCGCGCATGTTTTCTGACAGCTCTAACCCGTACTGTACCTGTAGGAATTCCAATCTGTGTTAGGTCGGCATTGGCTTAGGCGGACGCGCTGGCGGGCCGGCGACTGGGGGTCTTGAGGAGACGTCCCTTGCCCCTGCCTGGAGGACTGAGGTCCTCACCTGTAGGAGGACGGGGGTCCTCGTCTGTAAGGAGGACGGGGGTCCTCATCTGTAAGGAGGTCTGACAGTCGGCCCTTTGGGTTGCTTTCTGTTTTGTCTCTGCGGCCGCACTGGAACGTTTGTCTGTGTTACTATGTCCTTGTTAACTTTTTTTGCATTTGTCTGTGTTGTTGTGTCCTTGTTAATTGCCTTTACTGTCTGTGTCTTGGTGTGGATTGGGGACATAATGGGGGAGACAGAAACCACTCCCCTATATCTTATGTTCTCCCACTTCTCGGATGTTAGGGAAAGAGCTCGTATTCTGAGCATAGACATACGGAGAGAGAGATTCCAAATTTATTGCATATCAGAATGGCCAACCTTTGACGTGGGATGGCCCCAAGAAGGAACTTTGCACCTACCTATTATCTTACAGGTTAAGGCCGTGATCTTCAGGGACAAACCGGATGGCCACTCTGACCAGGTGCCCTACATCCTGATCTGGCAGGACATGATCGAGAATCCCCCTCCTTGGCTAAAACCATTTTTACCCCCCAAAGCAGGACCCACCGAGATTCTAGCCCTGCGGAAAGCCGAGAAGGAGACCGACTACGCCCCAAGTGCCCCTTTATCTGGTCTTCCAGGATTCCTTCCCGGAGGACCTGATTCTCCCGCCGCCCTACCGGGCACCCCCTCCCCCTTCCGCCCCTCCATTGGAGACACCGGGCGCTGCAGAAGGGGCGCCACCCCTCCTTGACGAGGGAGTCCCTGTGCGCGGGCCAGCAGCGGGACACGCCGTCAGACGCACCGGACGGCCCCACCTCCGAATGCGGGGCCAGCCGACTCCACCGCCCTTCCTCTCCGGGCCATGGGGCCCCCCGATGAGACTGGCGAACAGCTAATGTTATATTGGCCATTCTCCACCAGTGATTTATATAATTGGAAAACCCAAAATGCAAAGTTCTCTGATAATCCAAGAGATCTAATTGGGCTTTTAGATACTGTTCTCTTTACCCACCAGCCTACTTGGGATGACTGCTAACAGCTCTTGCAGGTTCTCTTCACCACCAAAGAGAGAGAACGAATTCAGGTGGAAGCCCGGAAGTCTGTCCTGGGAGAGGACAGACAGCCACTCAAAACCCAGACCTCATAAATGCTGCCTTCCCTTTATCCCGCCCCACCTGGGACTACAACTCAGCTGAAGGAAAGGAGAGACTCCGGGTCTACCGCCAGACTCTAATGGCAGGTTTCAAGGCTGCTGCGTGCAGGCCTACCAATCTGGCCAAGGTCTATGATGTGAGACAGGGTAAGGATGAGAGTCCAGCAGCCTTCTTAGAGAGAGTCATAGAGGCTTTTAGGCAGTACACCCCTATGAACCCAGAAGCCCCGGAAACAAAGGCCACAATTATCATAGCTTTTGTTAACCAGGCCACTCCGGACATTAAAAAGAAATTGCAAAGGGTAGAGAGAGACTGGGAGAGAAGAGCTTGCAGGACTTAGTGATAGTAGCAGAACGAGTCTATAATAATAGAGAAAGTCCGGAAGAACAACAAACCAAAGTGACTGGCAGACCCGAAACCTGACCAAGATACTGCTGGCCACAACCATGGATGACCCACAGGAAAGACAGAGGTACCTCAAGAAGCTGGCTTCAGGGACAGGTAAGGAGGATGGCCCTGGTCCCCCTCGGGAGCACCCTAAGCTGAACAAAAACCAATGTGCTTATTGCAAAGAAGAGGGCCACTGGGTGAAAAGCTGCCCTAACAAAAGATCTAAGGCCCCTGCCAAGATCTTGGAAATGGAGGACCTGGACAATTAGGGGAGTCAGGGTTCGGCACCCCTCCCTGAGCCCAGGGTAACTCTTAAAGTGGAGGGGCAACCTGTTGAATTCCTAGTGGACACTGGGGCACAATATTCGGTTTTATTACAACCCCAAGGGAAATTGGCAAACAAAACTTCATGGGTGCAAGGGGCCACAGGCACCAAACAGTACTCATGGACTACCCGAAGAACTGTGGATCTCGGCACGGGCCGGGTTTCCCACTCCTTCATGGTTATCCCTGAGTGTCCCTACACGTTGTTAGGTCGGGATTTGCTCACCAAGATGGGGGCACAAATTTGCTTCCACCCCGAAGGAGCAAAAGTCTTAAACAAGAAGGAGCACCCGATTCAGGTGCTTGTCCTGAGTTTAGAAGACGAATATCATCTCCACCAAATGCCCTCAGCCCCAATGACTGATATTGACCGTTGGCTGCAGGAATTTCCCCAAGCGTGGGCAGAAACTGGGGGAATCAGGCTGGCCCAGCATCGACCAGCCATATACATAGAACTAAAGCCAGGGGCAGACCCTGTCAGGGTCCGCCAATACCCCATGCCTCTAGTAGCACGAAAGGGAATCACACCTCACATACGGCGACTACTGGACTCGGGCATATTAAGGCCCTGCCGATCGGCATGGAACACTCCCTTGCTGCCGGTTCAGAAATCGCACTCTAAAGATTACAGGCCAGTCCAAGACTTGAGGGAAGTCAACCGGCGAGTAGAGGATATGCACCCTATGGTCCCAAACCCATACACCCTCCTCTCCACCCTGCCTCCAGACAAAACTTGGTATATGGTATTAGATTTAAAAGATGCCTTTTTCAGCCTGCCTTTAGCGCCCAAGAGCCAAGACCTCTTTGCCTTTGAATGGATGGACCCTGAGAAAGGCATCAATGGCCAGCTCACCTGGACTCGACTACCACAAGGATTCAAAAATTCACTGACCATCTTCCATGAGGCCTTACACAAAGACTTGGGTGAGTTCCGTTCTGAGCACCCTCATTTGACTTTATTACATACAATATGTAGATGATATCCTCTTGGCGGCAGAGGACCAGGACACATGCCTGCGAGGCACCAGGGACTTGCTCCAGACCATAGTGGCCCTAGGATACCGGGCCTCAGCTAAAAAGGCCCAGATATGCAGAACAGAGGTGAGCTACCTTGGGTACAAATTAAAGGATGGACAAAGATGGTTGACGGATGCACGGAAGGAAACTGTCTTAAGAATCCCACAGCTGCAAACCGTCCGCCAGGTACGTGAATTCCTGGGGTCAGCAGGGTTCTGTCGCTTATGGATTCTGGGTTTTGCTAAGATGGCCAGACCCCTCTATGAGGCCACCACACACCAGCAAAATTTTGAATGGACAGAGGCCATGAACAGAACCTTTAATGACCTTAAACAGGCCTTACTGTCTGCCCCGGCTCTTGGGTTGCCCGATCTAGCCAAGCCCTTCTATGAGAAAGACGGGGTGGCAAAAGGGGTCCTTGTCCAGTATTCTTGAACTCCTGAGGGCCCTCTGGCTGCCAAAGGCCCTAGCCATCATCCACTGTCCGGGGCACCAAAAGGCAGACATGCCAGTAGCCAGGGGAAACCGGCTAGCCGATTTAAAAGCAAAGGAGGCGACCCTTTTGGTGACCCAGGTCTTGGCAACCATGCTACTTGATCCGGGGGCACTGACCCTGCCTGACACCCCCAACTATACTGATGCTGACTTACACTGGATCAAATGCTTGCCTATGACCCAGTGCTTGCGTGGCTGGTGGAGGGCCGCAGACTCCAGCATCATCTTGCCAGAGGAAGTAGGATGGCGAGTCCTATCCAAAATACATTGGAGTACTCACATGGGAACAAGGAAGATGGAAGACCTCATACGACATGCAAAGATCACTATTAAAGACTCTCGAGCAAAGATCAAGCAGATTGTGGCAAGCTGCCATGCATGCCAGTTAACTAATGCCACCGCCCATGGATCTAACCCAGGCACCCGGCTCCAGGGGGACTGCCCAGGAGCCTACTGGGAAGTGGACTTCACTGAGGTAAAACCTGGAAAATACGGATACAGGTATTTATTAGTGTTTGTAGGTACTTTTTCAGGGTGGACAGAGGCATTTCCCACCAAACATGAAACAGCACAGACCGTGACAAAGAAACTGCTGGAAGACATCTTACCGAGGTATGGTTTTCCGCTAAGATTGGGTCAGACAATGGCCCAGGATTTGTATCTAAGGTAACACAGGGAGTGGCACTAGTACTTGCGGCAGATTGGAAATTACATTGTGCATATAGGCCAGAGAGCTCAGGACAGGTAGAGAGGATGAACAGAACATTAAAGGAGACCTTAACTAAATTAGCCCTGGAGACTGGCGGGGACTGGGTGACTCTCCTCCCCTTCGCCCTATATAGGGTAAGGAACTCCCCATATAAGATGGGACGGACTCCCTACGAGATCATGTTCAGTCTTCCTCTACCTGTTATCCCCAATTTAAAACCTGAGGTGCTTGCTGAATTTGATGATCACCAACTTCTTTTCTCCCTCCAAATGTTACAACGAACCCATGAGCAGGTGTGGCCTAAGCTGAGGGCCCTCTATGAGACTGGGCCACCCCTGGATCCCCATCAATATCGGCCAGATGACTGGGTGTATGTGCGGAGATACCAACACTGGACACTTCAGCCTCACTGGAAGGGACCTTACACCGTGATCCTGACCACTCCCACCGCTCTCAAGGTCGATGGGATTACTCCCTGGGTCCACTACACCCATGTCCGGCCAGCTGACCCACACGCCGTTCTCAAGAACTTTGTTCCAGAATGGAAAAGCCAACCGGACAAGGACAATCCCCTAAAGCTAAGACTGCGCCGTTCTCACTTATTTCGCACCTCCAAGACTCCCTATTCCTAGGTTGTCCTTCAAAATAGAAGGGGATTAGACTTAGTCTTCTTACAACAAAGGTTGTGTGTGTGTGGTTATGTGCTGCCTTAAATGTAGGATGTTGCTTCTTCGCTGGAATGTAAATGGGAGTGAGAACAGCAACAAGGCTGGTTAGAATCCTGGTTTAATCATTCCCCGTGGCTCACTCTGAGAGCAACCTGGACCCATGATTGGGTCCTGCATAGGATCCTCTGAAAAAGGGGGAAATGTCGGACCCAGGAAATTTAACAAAAATCCCCTACCCCTGGACAAGCAGAGCAGGACTGATTCCATTTTGTGTTACACCTGCCACCTCCTGTGTGACCCCCACATAACCTGCTTATTGCTTAAGGCGCTGCCCCACCCTAGTCAAGCCCTGGGCACACCCTAATCAGAAATCGGCTCATTACAATGTAACCCTGCTTTGTGCCCGCCAAAACTGCGCGCCAATTCTGACCAAAGTAATAGGCCAGCTCAAATGGATACTAGAGGGTAAGATGTAATTCAATTGGCCACCTGCGTGTGGACCGACAGGACTGCTGCAACTTTCTGTGTATCCCATTGGCCACTGGCCCCTATAAAGCTGCTACGCCTCTTAGTCCGGGGTCCAAGTCCCTGCTCCGCTGTGTTGGGTACACTTGGACCCAAGCTCGAGCTTGTAAATAAACCCTCGTGTGTTTGCATTGGTGTCGGCTCCTTGGTGGTTTCTCGGATTTGCAATCTTGGGCACAACAGGAATGTGAGGAGGTAGACGGGGACGTAGAGAATTTTCCCCTTTTTGGTAACTGTGTCTGGGTGTAGGTAACATTGGTCAGCTAGAGCTCATGGCTATTTTGAGGTGGGTGACGTGATGGGCCTGTCTGTAGTCAGCCAGGGGTTACAGTGGTCCCCTTCTACATTCCATTGCTCAAGCCTGTTGCCTAAAAGAAGCTTCTACATAATGCTATTTAAGCCTGAATTTTAAGCCACCTCGAAGAGTTACTCATTTTCCCCGGTTATGGCCTATGTGTTATCACACTTCTGCTTGTTTTTC